AAACTGTATTTCAATGCAAAATTCTTTTTTATTGCTATGAAATGACCTGTAATAATAAGATTCAACTGGAACAAAACTTAGCTGTTCGATCATGTATTTTAGCAAATTCTTGATCCCCAGTTCTTGGCTCACCAAAAGTAATCAACTTTATTTTCTGTGGTTTAAACATTTTTTCAGCGACAGCAACATGCACTGCTATTGTTACCAGCGAACCACCTAATGAAATGCCAGTAGCCTAAGAATTGGGCTATTTTTAAAAGTTCTTTTGCGTTTTGAAAAATTAGACAGTAGTACTTAATTTATAATTGAAAGTAAAATCTTCCTCACCCACAGCTCATAATGTGGGTATGTGATTGTTGCATTTGAAAGCGCAGAACGTATTCCATCGTTCCAGAGCTTTGCGAATATGTTATAAAAGAAAGAAGAGACCTGAAAACTGCACATCAACACATTTAGGTTTAAGACTTTTTTTCCATAATTTAGTAAAATTTGAAGCTGCTGCTTGAGAAACACTCAAAAAAAGCACAATACTAACTTTGCCGCCTCCTTCAACATTTCTCAAAACAAATATGCCTAGCGTTTCAGCCAAGAGTTGTTGCAAAGAATCAGTTCCTCTGAAAAAAAAAAATTTGCAAAATAGTGTGTAGTCAATTGCTATACTCTAATGCTTCGGCTGTATTTATGACATAAATGTACGCCGCGCTATACTAAATGTTAAAATCGTCTAGAAAGTTTTATTAATTTCTTCTTTTTCTTCTCAAAGCCAGAAATCAGGTGGTTTCTTTCAACTTGAATTTAAAATTTGACATATTTTTACCTGTATACTGCGTCGGCAGGTTCAATCATAGTATAGATGATGGGACTACTTTAAATTTCAAAGATGATTTGGAAGAAACAGCCAATCTTCTGTCTTGAAAATGAATAGAAAGTTTCAAAATTTTTTGGACACAGTGAGTAACAACCATTGCAGAAACAAAGCGAAAGACTTTGGGTTTCATTTTAGGCTCAGCAACTGTTTAGGCGAATCAAAATGCCAGATTACTAAATTAATTCTCACAGTGACTTTGGAAAGACAAACGTTGCCGTAAAAGTACAACTTCAAATTTAAGAGCGGCTTGAGGTACATTTTTGTTGACTTCTCACTCCTAGGTCGTTAGAATTCAACAAAAATGCAAAGTAGATTTTATAATTCTCTGCAATACGGCCGTAGAATGACTGACAGCATATTTTTTATTGGTAAATTCTAAATAGCTATATTTCAGTGACATTTCTGCAGTATTTCTTTACAAATTAGTAGGCTTGTTTTAAAATATTTACCTTCAACACTTAAAGGCATTTACTTAAAACAGCAACGGGGTATTATGTCTCCATTTCCAGTTCTCCTAATTTTAAGATTTTACAATGTTAAAAAACAGCAAATGGAAGATTAGAGTGTTACTGAGCAATGAACACTGAGTAGGTTGAAAAAGCGCTGCTTTGCAGGATTGCTGCAGCTTTGGATAGACCCAAGTATGTACACAGAAGCGCTTTTGAACGTAGTTCAGCAAACGCTCAAAAAAAAAAAATTATGGAAATAAAAGATGGAAAGGAGAATGTTGGTCTAAGTGGAGTGAAGGGTCAACACCGATAGAAATCAGACTGACATTTGGCTTTTTCAAAAATTCAGAGTGTGGATTTCAGGTCAGTTAGGTTCCGCTTCATGTTTTCAGTCGATAAGAAAATGATTGCGTAAGTTTTGACTTTCAAGGCAAGTTGAGAAGAGAAAGCCGTTTACGCTGTTACCAACTTTGAATGGCGTTTAGAAGTCAGCAGAACAAACTTTATTTACAGCCTTTAGAGTCTTGATAACTTGAGGGAGCAGTAGCAGTATAGCAGTATTAAGCTTAATTTAATTAAAAGGCTGGGTGGCAAAGTGTTCTTGAATAGAAGAGTGGGTAAGGGGTTTAATTTTTAATTTTGTTTGTAGTAGATGGCTATGTACAATGGAAGTTCAGTGGTAGTTTCAAATTTAATGAAATGCTGAGGTTTCGTTCCGTCTTTAAGATAAAGGGTATCTTAAACTTTTAGTGATTTTTTAAGAAACAAAAGAATTTTTTTCTTTTTAAACATCAAATTGGATCTCGGAACGACGGTCTTAATCATATACTTGTTATAAAAAAATTGGTCATGTTTATAGAAAAGTAAAATTAGAGTGCTAAATTGACCGGTTTTATTATCTTGACTTGAAGCCCTCCTCATCAAACCACCGTGGAACTTGATTAATAAGTACAAAAAAAGCAAAAAAAGCAAAAACAAAAAAAAAAAAGAAACTGAAAATAAATGAAAAGGTTATGCCATTCTCCTTTTAAATTAAATACCACAAAGGACAACACTGAACCTACGGTTAGCAGGAATGGGCACTTAGCAGGCTTAATGTACAGTAATTTACAGCAACAAATAAGACGAAACAGTTTTGCTGGGAAACGCTTAGTTCACGGTTCATTTTGTTGTCTTTTTTAGTTTATTTTTCTTACTATTTGAAACTATAATGTACTTTGATTCTGTTTTCTCGTACTGTGTCAATTTTAATTACCCAGTGTTTGTACTTAATCACTCAAGTGATTTATGCGACAAAAAAAAATTGATTATTGAGGAATTTTTTGGAATAATTTCTTAATTATTCTCATAGCTTAGTGGTTAAAGTAAACCATAAAATGAAGCGGTTTGAAAGACTAATGCAGCGAGAAACTAAAGTAATTAAGTTCCAATAGTTGGTTACACATATATGGATCTTTATTGATAGATCAAATCTTTGTGGCTGTACTGTCGCAAGGCCGAAGCGCAAAATCTAGTCTCGAGAAAAATTCTAAACAAGCATTGATTGAACCAGTTCAGTGGTTACGCAACAGTGTGGACAGAGAGAATTGATTGTACAGGAAAGCATAGAATTTTGGATTCAGCTTCAAAGGCGCTACGTACTGAAATTCGAGAAGTTTATGAAAGAGGTATCAAAATTAGAGCAGTAGACTTTTAAGAGTTGTAAAGCAGTCGTAAATTGGCAGTATTCAGATAAAAAGAGATAAACCATCTCGATTCGCTTGTAATTACCTTTACTTACTATTAACGTACCGCCGCATGATAAGGTAACAAATTTATTAAAAAGCCGAAATGTTCTCGTTTTTTGTAAAACTTAAATTGTAGATAGTATCCTTAACTTTTCTTTCGTAAAACAACAACACTGTTTCTTTAACTTCAAATTTATTTCATTTATTTTACAAACCAATCTCAACCAAAGGAATGAGTATTGTTTTAAATAACGGTTTTGCATGTCACAAATGCCGAATTTAGAAGTCATATAGTTTGCTAATTAGATGAAAATTAATTCACTTTTAAGAGCTTTTTAACATAACAATTAAGAAAATCGACTAGGAAGATTCAAAAACCCACTGACGGTATAATCCAAAAGTTACCGAAAGCTAAGCATTATTGCCTTTTTTTTGTGAGATATCGCGACCATGCCACAGATGATCGTCTCCTTGTCTAGAAACGAAATTACTATATGTTTAAGCACCTAAAAATATGAATCGTTTTCATTTTTTTTAAGAAAAAAAACAAAAACTTCAACTTGTTATCATAAAAGATTAATACAATTTTTTTATTCAGATGCAGAAAAGCGTGTTCAAATTATCCGAGCACAAATAGTTTATTTTCAGCGTAAACAGTTATGAAAATTCTAAAGAAAAAAATGAGCCTTTTTTTCTTTGAGAAAAAATTATTATTGTTTGCTTGTTGCATTGCGAGTTGTATTTCTAAAAGCTATATTCAAGACTAAAATGTATATCACTTGTGCATCGTCTACTGCTTTTCGCAGACAGCTAGCAGGGCTGTCTTCGGATGCAGTTGATGCTGCTATCGGAAACATCACATATCTGGCAAAGCTGTCGTTATATACATTTTTTGGATCTATCAGAAGAGGACACTCAAACGACTTTGTATATTTAAAGTCCGACTTCAAAAAACAATCACTAAAAACTTTGTCATCGCAACTGTTTCTTATCGAATGCCAACTAAAAAATGAATTAATTAGTTTTATGAGGAATACTGAACAGATTACGCTCAAGCGTTTCTATTTTCATCTGAAGGTAGTTTTCCCAGTTTGCTTACTAAAACAGCAAAATCCTTTTGTTTTCTAAATTTATTTTATTTTGTTTTTTCATTTTTGTAATTTATATGAGTACCTGCACTGGTAGTTAGAGCTTGTACAACTGATACAGTCAGAAAAATTTCTACAATGATGCTGCCGGTTAAAGCATTTATCTGAAATCTGGTTTATTCGTCATTTTTAAATGTTTTTATCAATTCAGCTAGCCAATAAACTTCATCCTCATTACCTTCCTGTACAACATATAGTTTTTACATTATTCGCTTAAATTTTAAAAAAGAAAAAAAGGTCTTACTACTTGTCAAATAAACTATTTTATTGTTCGAATTTAGGAACTAAATTATTACAGATAAATACGTTGACTATAAAATTACCTGTGCAGGTAACGAGAAAAACAAAAGCAACAAGAAAGTGATATAACAGTGTATTCATTTCAATACAACTGATGCTTAATTTGCTTTGTTCGCTGTTACAAATCAATGTTTCATCTTACATTATATTTAATATAACTTTTATTTCTATTCCAAACTGTTGGCTATTCATATCATTTCTTCTCCCTTTCTTCTCTTTCTATTGATCTGTTCGAACAAGTTTTTTTGAATTTCTTAAATATACAGCAAAATTTTTCCTAAATTTTTTCGGTTTCTTTCAAATTCTGTATGCATTCTAGCAAATTTTCTAGAAATAACGTTTCTAGCTTTATTTTTTCAAGCTATCATAAAAATACATTTGAACTTTGCGAATTGCTGACATAAAAAAGGAAACAAAGGTTGGATTGTTGTGGTGATAAACGATGATGACATGAAACATGTCTACTAAAAAAATCAATTTAACTAATTTCATCTAGAACACCTTTTGCTAATAATTGCAACTAGCTGCATTCTTAACACTGCTTAAACTTACAGTCTTTAAAGTTGGCATCTTCAGTTATTCATCACCTTTTTTTTAGCACAAACTTGCGAGAACGCCCAGCAGCTACGACTTAACCTAAGTATAATTACATTCCTCCAAATAGAATAACAGCTATTAGCGCTGCAAGTGTTGCTTGACCTGCTCTAATAAACGAAATCTCCAAGACATTTCCTATTAATTGTAGAAATGCATAAGGGATGAGTGCAACGGTTACCTTCCTGTCGGTACTCACTAAACTTATTTTACAGAAAAAAATTTTTTTACGCTACGGAACAGCTAAGTGCTCCAAAAAGTGCTCGAGCAAAGCGTCTTTATTTCCTTATACAACACTTCCTGAAGGTCAACGAAGTTTAAAAATGTAGCGCTTAAGAGTTTGACAAGAAAGAATATATTGTTTAAGGCCACCACAACCAATAGTAATAACTACCATTTATTTTGCCATCGTTCTGTTGCTGTCGCTCTACTTGTCACCTGTTGCACATGTGGAACAGTTCTTATTATGGGAGAGAGCGTAGGAGCTGACTTGTCAGTCAGGTGAAGTTAAAACAGACCGGTCGAACTGTACAAAGCTTAAGACGCCAGCTACCTGGGTGA